TCAGAAGAGCTTACCCGGTAGGCTAAGGTACTGATGGTATTCGACGGGGTGAATTTAACGTCTCTTGTAGCTACTGACTGACAGAAAGCTTTGGGAAAATAAAAAGTCCCCTCGGTATTCGAACCCACTGTCTAACGATCCGACAATCTACACCTTAACCACTCGGCCATTTCAGAGATACTGAATATTGGTATTCATACTAAAAAGATAAAACCGATAACTTTACTTCGTAAAATGTCGCTTTTAGTATGGCCTGCAAAATTAACTTTTATTCAGCGTGTACAGGTATATTCTTTAATTAATAGAGATATCTCTATTAAGTTTCCGGTCCCGCACACTGGGTCAACGGAAAGGTTATTGTAACGTAACGCACAAAGTTTCACTGAGCCAGGGGGTCGTAGAACCTTTCCCGACGCAAACAACCACGGGAGTGCAAGTACAAACACACGGATTCAAAACCTCTCAAGATAATAGATTTTTAAACACAAAACGTCGAGGGCGACATGCTGACCTCGGGAAGTGGAAACTCATTGGAGATTATATCTTTATTATTAATATCAAGAAAATAATGGACGTATCGTTTATGAGCATTTCTTTTGAAAATGCTAGATTATTCTGCAGTTCTGCAACAAACGGAATTTGTTGAACAATTTTGTTTGTTGATAACCACCTGTTTGGTGTATGATTATATCGATCTCCTAGTTAGCTGGATTAGAGTCCTTATTCATTCTTTCATTTTTTTATTTCCTTATCAGTTTCCTTAAGGGGATTTTACTTCAGAATAAATATACTTTTTAAGGCTATTTATCGATAAACCAATCGTACGAGATCCGCCCCCCCCCCGAAAAACGTTATCAACCCACCACCAGAGAAGCCCAACCAACGCCCAAACAGCGTCAAAAAGCGGACCGCCAGCCCATGGCAGACTACCATAAACCTGACGACCCTCTTCAGAGGCTCGCTGAGCCACTACCTCCCGTAGTACCTCGGTGCACAGACGGCTACCCAGAGAAGATTGAGGGAGGCTGGGTGGAGGAACTGTGCCGATCCTACCACTGGAAGACGTCAAGCAAGGAAGCGGCAAAGGAAGGGTGCTTACGGGTCCCCGAAGTAAGACCAGCATGATACCCAGTTTTCGACTGCAATTTTCTTACTTAGAAGTAAGGGAACTGAGATTAAGGTCCAAGCAGGTTGCTTGAACTTGCTTCTCTGTAAGTCCTTGGCCTGGACTTGTTTGCGAAGTGCTAAAATAAAATAAGTCTAATGATTTGTCCTGTAAAATTCCCAACAAAAATACTATGAAGACACAAGAATATATACTCGATTGGAGATTTTTTGCAACATCGTATTGATTTTCTGTTGTCTACTATCAATAATCCCTCTTGGTCTAAGCCATGTATTTTCTCGTTTTCCAGAATTTATTGTTGAGGCGATTGGGTGTGCGACAACTTCGTGGGGGGGTGCATCCTTACACCTTTGGTTACCCCGTTATCAGCGACATACCCACTTGAGCCCAGCCTGTTGCATTCTGTTACTCTGCACGCCTGCCCGTCTGCCGTTCGCTTCTGTGTCTGTCTCTCCTCAAGTCTGGTCACTAGACTCAGTACCAAACGAACATTCAATTTGAATTAGCCTAACTGGAATTTGATGAAATCGGTGGGTCAGTAAGCAGAGAAGCCCATGTGCCAGGTTATTTTTTCTCTGCTACCAGGAGGCAACGCCTGTATCTAAATATAATTTTTTATGCGTAATCGACATTGATTTGACAGTCTGCAGTACAGATAAGCCTGTTTTAGGTCGTTTGCAAGATTTCGAAATTCAAACTGGCTCAAAATACTGTAAATTTAGAAAAGGAAACAGTTTATATTGAGTTGAAGATTTCACCCACTCTCTTATTTAGCACGATGTGCCTGTTGATAGGTCATCACGTTTGTGTACAGCAGAAGTATTACAGACAGCCCGCCTTGAGGTGAATTATGCACCCCCTCGCCGGTTAAGAGCTGTGTTGTTCTTTTGCTGGTAGCGACGAGACTGTAACACGTTCATTATTTTCATGGTCGTTTGTGAACCAGCGAAGTGCAGTCCCAATCAAAGGAGCCCCCGTTAGGGCGACGTTGAGTTTTCTGTTTGGTGTCTTGCCCTGTACCGATACTGTTAAAACGCTGGGCAGTGTTTGCCCGGCGGGGGTACCAGGTGAATCGCTTGTCAGCTGTTGGGCAAAAAAGAACATGGCACGGGATAAAATAAAATAGCAGAAATAACATTTTCTGCAACCGTTGGGTAAATGAGATGAGATTGCCCATACAGCAGTAGAGAATAAACTCTTTTAGGTAATTTTAATCAACTGTTAGATATGCAATTCACCTTGTACCCAACAAAATGTCCAGCGTAAGATTGCGGTGCTAGTGCTCTTCAGCAGTGGCGTAAATTTGTGCCGGAAAATGTGTGTGTGGGGGGATGACTTGAAAATTTCAAAAGTGGAAGAGGGGGGAAGAATATGACTCCGCATTGAGATCAATGGTCATGATATTAATGCATATCTGTATTATCAGTGTATTCAAAAAGGCATATTTATGATAATGAATGCATTTGAATATTTGGAAGTCTGAAAATTCTTCACAATCCACTTTATTTCTTGCTCACCACAAGCAAGTGTGGGGGGAAGATTCAATAGCCCCCCTACCTCAAAAAGTGTGTGTGGGGGGGTATATACCCCAATCCCCCAGGATTTACGCCTATGCCTTTGAGCAAGGCACTTCACCACGAGTGGCGTCTGTCTCTCAAAGGGTTAAAAT